CCAGGCGCCTGATGTCGGGCGGCTGTGCGTGCGTGCTCCCGTCGGCATCTCGTCTCCTCGTTGTCCTGCACTCCGATAATGCCATATCCGGCAGGTGAGCCCTTCGCAACAACCCCCATCCCAGATACAGTGTGCTGTTCTGTCTCGTCCTGGTCAGCTCTTGCTTGCACCTTTCTTCATCGCTTCGCCTCGGCTCTCACCAGCAGCAAAGCGGTAGAAATCGCAGGGCCACACAGCAGGAGCCATTCGCACTCGCACACATTCACTCATACAACATGTCGTACAACGAGTCCACCGGCGCCTATGATCCGTACATCCCCTCATCCGCAGGCGGCGAGCGCCAGGGCGCCGGCAACACGAAGACTGCGCAGATCCAAGCGCAGATCGACGAGACGGTCGGCGTCATGAGGGACAATATCAACAAGGTCAACGAGCGTGGAGAGAACTTGAACAGCTTGCAGGACAAGACGGGTGCGTTTAGCTCTCCCGCTTACGCTGTCCTGGCGCCGCAAGGAGCCTATTACCGATCTTCCAAGCGCTTGATTAGCGCAGCATACTGATGCACTGCTCTCTGTCCTTCCCCCCTTTTCCCTCCCGGAATGACTGGAATCCTTGACCACCCCGTCGCACAGACAACCTCGCTGTCTCGGCGCAAGGTTTCCGACGCGGCGCCAACAGGGTCCGGAAGCAGATGTGGTGGAAGGATGTGAGTACCCTTTCCCATAAAGGCTGGCTGCTGCGGTTGGCAGCTGTATGTTTGGCTAGGTGAGGGGTAGAGGAGGGCAAGGATGGGAAGCCCCAGCGGCTGTGATGAAAGGCCTGGGGCAACCGGCAGTTTGCATTCGGCTGGCATGCCTGGTGCTTCAAGCATTCAACGGCTCTTCCTATAAGGTCAACAATGTGCAAATCGCAAGTGCATGTCCGCAGAAGCTAGGTCGGCTAGTAACCTCGGTGGTGTCAGGGGGGGTTGTGGCCTTTAGTCGGAGCACTCCGATTACAAATGTGCTTGGAACTTCCCGCAGAATGCCTGTGTGGCTGCTTGGAAACACTCACCGCCTTCCCCCTTTCAGAGTGGTGATTGCTAACTGCCTTGGTTTTGTTCCTCTCATGCAACACCACATCCCGATTACGTCTCGTTGAACGCACACGTGTGACTTACACAGATGAAGTGAGTATTGTTCTGGGCGATGGCCCAACGCCACACTGTCTCCTCCGAGAAATAGAAGTGTCATTTCATCGATTGACTTCAAACTCCCTGCAGAATGAGAATCATCCTCATCGTCGGTATCCTCATCCTTCTCGGCATCATCGTCATCCCGATCGTCGTTAAGTTCGGGCACAAGTAAGCGCCCTACAGTCAGGGCGGCCTTCTCTCCTAGGCGTTCCGTCCGCACATTGTTTTCCCCTTCCCTGGTCTCTCATCTCGGTTCTCTGATGGGTCTATGAAGCGCGTGTGTATGGCTTATGTCGACTTTCGCGCTGGCTTCCACTCTGTTTCCTGTGCAGGAGGCAAGCGCAGCGCGAAGGAAACTTTGCAATGAATGTGTTGATGCTCGTTACAAATGCTTGTGCCGCTTCACCGAAGATGCATGTCACCACGTCATCGCAAAGCCTTGCATGAGCAGTAAGGCCTTCTGTTTGTACATGAACCCGGCCTGAGAGATGTACGTAATCGCGCACGCGTAGTGCTTTCAGTTGAGTCCCTCAGTGTGGTTCAAAGGCAGAACTCAATTCTGACAACCAGGTGATATGCAAGGGTTTCACTATGCCTTATAGCGTGCAGATTATAGAGCTGATTGTGGTAGTCCTTCAGCCTCCTATCCTAGCTTTCGCATTTGATGCCCCGATTCCAGCATACTCGCACCGGACCAGGAAAGTTCGTGAGCGACTGAGAGACTTTAGCGGCCTTCGTCGCGCCAGTCATCGAGCTGGTCGCTTCAGGTGCATCACACATGTTCGTCCTTGCACCCGCAGCCCTTCTAAGCGGATCCCTCGGTCTGACACCCTTTGTGTTCAAGGCCGTCTAGTCGACCGCATCGAGCGCAAATGACGAGATGGTGTACCGCAGCGGTCCGTTCTTTACTTCTCCTTGCGTTCGCCCACGATAGCTGGGCCCGACCTGAGGGTGATGGGGCGGTCACACCAATGGGCATTCCTCAAAGTCAAGGTCATGCGCTGAGCGCGGCCAAGGACAAGATCATCTTCCTCGCTCGTGCCTGGGCCGAGCATGTTCCAGACAAGAAGGACGTGGCCCACACGCTCATTCCCATGGTCCTGCCATGGCTGTGCCTGCAAGTCGTCCTGCGAACCTGGCTGCATCACCGCAATGGAAACCAAGCAAGCTATGCGTACGACTACGGTACCGCCGGTGGTGCACTGTCGACGTTCTCGGTACTTGTCCGCAAGTATCATCTGCATGGTGTCAAGGCTGCATTGCGCGCGCTGCCGTCGTGGATGCACGGAGGCGCCCCAGTGGGGTCAAGGTGGTCGCATTTAGCGTATGAACTTGCACAGCCCACCGGTTGTGAAGACTCGCCGACAGGCCATTCGCCTGCTGTTACCCCACCTCCTCCCCCGAAATTTGACGAGGAAAGTAGTGCAGGTGGTGCAGATAGCGACGATGAAGAGGACGAAGGACAGGACGACTCGTCCCCCGAGGCGGTCACAGCGGTGCAACTATCATGGTGGAGCTTGCGGCTCGAAACGACGCACTTCAACCTCAGCTTGGCTCGTTTTGTCGATTACTGCGCGAATGAAAGCCGCTCAGGCACAACCGGAGCATCTCGACTTGCTCTCATGAGAGCATACACGGGTCAAACGATTGTTGCGTCACTCGTTTATTCCCTCTTGGTCCTGCTCATTCTGCACATATGGGCTGGAACGCTGTTCTGGCGCTTCGTGATGCTCAGTGCACAGGATGGGAATTCACAGACGAATGCCATATTGTCGAATTCCATCTTTGCACGTCGCAACAGTAACGATGGCGATGTGGATGCCCCATACAACGGGACAGAACTCCAACCAGAACCTCCTCATCTGTCTTTACTCGTGAGTGTACACTTGAAGTAATGCCTTGATGATGAGTTCAGCTAAGTCTTCAAAATGATGCTCTCAGATACCCGGCATATCGCTCCCGGTGTCCCACTTGCCCCTGTTGATTGGTTCGCTCATTTTCGCTCAGTTCATCCATGAAATCCTAGGTCATACGCTTACGGCGGCAGTCGCATCCCAGCGCATTCTTGGTGCTGCCACAGCGTACTTGCCGAGAAGAGCCGGCATCTGGATGCCCATCCCGGGCTTCGTTGCTGGCGCCTATGTCGTCTTTCCCCGTGCGATCAAGAAGATGGACATCGCACGTGCGGTGGACCAGCTCCGCAGGTCCGGGGGACAAAGCGCGAACGGCAATACCACAGCTGCTTGTACCACTTCCGCAGAGCATATCGAGATGCAGAGTGAACCGCCGGGGACTGATCAGGACGCGCCTCGGCTAGACGTCATCATGAAAGCTGTGCAGCTGCAAAGCGTGCACGCCATCACGGTCGCTGCGGGCATTGGTGCAAATGTGCTATGGCTGCTTGCGTTTTTCTTTACTGTCGGACTGATGCCCGATTCCAGCTTTTCGCCAGATGCAGGTGCGCAGCTTGGCCTCGTTGCGCATCGTTCATTTCTTCGAGCCAATACGTATCCCTGGAACCTAGCGGGGATCGCACGTGCTGCAGGATGGAGCGATGACCCTCTATCAGCTGCAAGCGCCGAGGGCCTGCAAGGGGGCCTGCGCATCAGCAACATTGCTAGCACATCACCTCTGCTGGCGCCAGCGATGGGTGACGCAGTTCGCATCAACGATATCATTCTTGCTCTCGACGACGTCGCATTTTACAAGACACCGTCAAATTTCACGTGGGGAGAGTCTGTCTGGAATGGCATTAATGGCACTGATGCTGATCAGCGTCTACGCCAATGGGAGATGGGGATCGCTACACCAGCTGCCGATGGCCAGATCAAAGGATGGTGCTACGACAAAGCACAGTGGAAGAGGCTACCGACGGACGGTTGCGACATCGCACAAGGCGACTCCGACGCGGCGCGGTCGGGAATATGCTTCCAGCTGAGCGGAAACAACGCTGGCAAAGAATTGCATCGCGTCGACATCACAAGCTTACTCGAGGGACGCGTTGGCGGGTACAACGCTTCGCGATGCGAACGTGCGATTGAATGCCCTGTGACCCCCTCGAGCGACGCTCTGTGCATCCGCCCAAATCCCAGGGAGCAATTGATACGGCTGACGCTGCTCGACAGATCTGTCGAAGCCTTGACAAGGGCCAGCGGCGGTGCAGGTTTTCCATCGACGACGCTTCTATTTCAAGCTCCGCGAGCGGAGCTGCTGACGCGGTTGACCGTCTCGCCGTACACACCGCGAGCGCTGCTGCGCGCACTGCTGCCGACGTTTCTGACGGACAGCTTTCTGGCACTCGCAGAGCTTGCACTAGAGTACTTTGTCCTGGTCAGTCTGAGCTTGATCGTGATCAATTCGCTTCCACTCCCGGGCTTGGACGGTAACGAGCTGCTCGAGCTGTTCGCCACCTTCCTGCTCTTATTCAGCGCCCGCTTCTCGGCACATCGGGAACGAGACGATGGATGGCAAGGAGAAGACGTGGAGGGTGGAGTGTCGCCGTCTGCTTCGACGAGTTCAGCTCAGATGCACACGCGCCGCATCCAATGCATCCGGCGGGTACTTCAGATCTTCCTGCTCGCGGAGCTTTCTGTCATCGTCATAGATGGCTTGTCGCACTGGCTGAATGTACGACATGTAGCATAGATCCAAAAAAACATTGACTCTCGAACGCACGCAGATACGTGGACCGGGAACGAGTAAGTGCAGGCACAGCATGCAGTCGCCCGTACTTGCCCATTCATCACGAGTGTTTACTCGAGGAATCTCCTAAGCCATGTTGAAGCACGGTGTAACCTATGCGCTCCATTGCTCGCTGGCATCACTGCGCTACCAGCGACGCAACAAGTGAATTATGATTTGTGTTGACGGCATCCCCAGCTCTTATTTCAGAACAAAAGAAAGAAAGAAATAGCGTTCCGCCCAAAATTCCAGGCGGAGATATGAGACCGAGCTTCGATACGAGATGGATTGAGGATGCACATGTGGATGATGGATAAAACTGTGACTCGGAGCCATCCTAACGTAGTCGCCAGCATTCATAGCCTGAGGGGCCCCAAGCACACCGAACATCTTTACCTCGCTCCCAGTGTCGGGCTGTGCGCGGGTGACTGACAAGTACGGAGGAAAAGAACGAGCGACTGACGCTTGCCCATCATGTCGAATCTTTTGTCCGCCGAAAACCTGAACGGTCGGCTGCTCTTTGCCATCCCAAAGAAGGGTGAGCGTTTGAAGTCGTAACTCAGCTTCCAAGGAGTGATGGCAGAGCACTGACTTATTCGGTGATTGTTGGGACTTGGCGCTGCGTCTCACGCTGTAGGCCGGCTGTACGAGAAATGCCTCGAGCTGCTGCAGGGTGCAGATATCCAGTTCAAGAGGCAGCACCGGTTAGATGTTGCGCTCGTGCAGAACCTTCCAATAGCTCTCGTCTTTCTCCCTGCAGCCGACATTCCGCGCTTTGTCGGAGAGGGCAACGTCGACCTCGGCATCACAGGACAGGACATGGTAGCAGAGGCGGGGACAAGCGTCTCCTCGCTCATCAGCGAGGTCCTCGAGCTCGGTTTCGGCAAATGCAAGCTTCAGGTGCAGATCCCTGACCCAGAATCGCCGGCTGCGCGATCCGCCAGTGCAGAAGGCAGCGCTGACACAAACTGCATTAGGAACGAAGAGGACCTGGTCGGGCGCAAAGTCGCTACCTCGTTCGACTTCCTCGCGGGTGAATACTTCAAGAAGCTCGATGAGGAGACCACCAAGAAGCGTCTTGCGGAGAGGAAAATGAAGGCGACCGACGCGCCGCTGAGGACAGCGATCGAGTACGTCGGCGGGAGCGTGGAGGCTGCATGCGCGCTGGGTCTGGCGGATGGAATCGTAGACCTCGTCGGTGAGTCCAAGAACGCAAGTGTTGTGTCTTCTCCTTGAGCTGAGCTGACTGGACTGAGGGATGCGAATCAATTGCGTACGCAGAATCTGGCGAGACCATGCGCGCCTGTGGCCTGACGGCCATTTCGACGCTGCTCTCCTCACAAGCGGTGTTGATCAAGCCGACGACGCCGCACCCGCGCTCGAACGTGGCGCTGATCGCGCGTATCACGGCCCGCATCCGCGGTGTAATTGCTGCGTCGCGTTACGTCCTCTGCACGTACAACATGCAGCGCGCTGGCCTGGAACGCGCGCTCAAGATCACCCCTGGCCGCCGCGCGGCGACAGTCATGCCGCTCGACGACGGCGAGTGGAGCGCAGTGTCCAGCATGATCCTCCGTGCCGAAGTCGCAACAGTCATGGACCAGCTTGAAGAAGTGGGCGCCAGCGACATCCTTATCACCAGCATCGACAACTGCCGCGTTTAATAGTTTTTTCAAGGGGAGTTGCGCTACGTCCCTTCTCCATGTCTACCTCCTTTGCAACATGTGTATAAGAGCGTACGTGCAGAGTGGCATGGGAATAGAAGGTACATTGCATAGAGTACAAAGGGGGAAGGGATGCGGACTTCGGAAAAAGAAGTCTCTATGTATCGCTTCCAATCGTCTTCAGTCATGATGGACAGGGTTTGCCGGGAGAGGGGGGGGGCATTCATCCCTTAATCCAGTCCATCTTGCGGCGGAGCCCTACGCGCGTTCCCATTCGCCTGCTGCTTGTTCGGTGGCGACGCGACGTGCATGCGCACCGTCATGGGTGTCGCTGCTGAATCGTTAACGAAAAAGTCTGCGTTGCGCAGTGGGCGTCGTTTGAAGATTTCCTTTTGGCTCTCGGGTGATATGGACGCTAGCCCGCCGTTTCCTGCTATCCCCCCTCCAGCTGCTGCCTGTGCCTGCCCGACGATCTTGCGGCCGCTCTCGCTGCGCAGGACCTCGCGCACGGGGATCATGGCCGCTGCGCGGCACAGCTCCTTGAGGTCGCTGCCGCTGTAGCCCTCTGTCCTGCGGACAACTTCATCTAGGTCGAAGCGCTTGTCGAGATCGGTACCCTTCAGCATGATGGAGAGGATCTTGTGCCGCTGCAGCGGATCGGGTAACGAGACGGCATACCGCTTCGGCATGCGACGCAGGATGGCTGCATCGATGTCGTTCGGCCTGTTCGTTGCGCCGAGGACCATGATGCGATCTGAGCCGCTCGTAAGACCGTCCCAGAGAGTCATGAATTCGGCCTTCATCATCCCCGTCACCTCGTGATCGCCGGTGCCTCGCTCGCGGAGGAAGCTATCGATTTCGTCAATGAAGATGATCGTCGGTTGTAGCTTGCGCGCCAAGCTGAAGAGCGCTGATACGAGCTTGTTCGACTCGCCAAACCACTTGTTCGTCAAAGTCGAGACGTGCATGTTGATGAATGTCGCGCCAGATTCTTTCGCCAGCGCTTTTGCCAGCATCGTCTTGCCTGTTCCCGGTGGGCCGTACAGCAGGACACCCTTGGGTGCGCCGAGCAGCCCATTGGAGCTGGAAAATAACTCTGGAAAGCAGAGCGGCGCAATGACGCTCTCTTGCAGGCTACCGATGATGCCGTCAAGTCCGCCTATACTGTCGAAGGTTTCGGTGATATCGCGCGGCAGGATCAGCTCAGAGGAGATCTGCTCTTCGTGTTCGCTCAGCTGCGCCAGGTGCGGGTGGGTTGCTGGACTGAGCCCGAGCGAGGAGAGCTTGCTGTCGGCCGCCTTTTTTGAGTCGATGCGTTTTTGCCGGTTGGGGTCCAAGCTGTGCATGACATACTTGAAAGCGTAGTAGAACGCCACTTGCGAGGCGGCGAACAGTGCCACTAAAAGACACAATAGAGTCAGCCTGCCAGTCACAACTAGTATTCACTAAGGCTGAAAGCAAAATAGCGCCCATGCTTGGCTGACGAGCGGATCAAACTCACCATCTGTGGCGATCTTTCGATATGCCTCCTTCATCTTGCCTAGTACACGCGAAGCACTTGTTCGCCTGTTCTCCCTTCAATGCACGCACGCGTGTGTCGCGAAAATCCAGCACCTCCCCCGAGCCCTCTCCACAGTCCACTTGAACCCTTGGCAGTGCCACCTGCTGTTGCTCCTTCTGCTGCCGTTGCTACCGCCCTTGGACCCCTGCGATGAGTTGATTGGGCGATAATGGAAGAGCTGTGCGGGAAGCAGGCAAGGGAGGATGGATGCGATGCGTGTGCTCCTCGAATGAAATGCGGTGTGTGAAACGTTGGGAGGGATTGGAAAGTAGGGTTGTCATACATTCGGTGCAACCCCATGCGTTCTCACAGACGACACTGTCGACGCTTGCGTGTCGCCGCGTGTACGTATGTAACCCCTTCAATGGGAGCCCAACCCAGAATGGACGACGTCAATGCATGGTGTATATTATATGCTGGGACCTTTGTCGGCACCATCCTTTGCGGGGAGCAACCTTCGGCCATACGATCAAGGACAGTACGGCAGAGTGCGACAACTAGATTGCGGTCTTTCCTCCGCACCCAATTTGCACAGCATGAGTATCATGGAATACAATGGCGGCTCCGTCGTCGCGATGGTCGGCAAGAATTGTGTCGCCATTGCCTGCGACCTGCGACTGGGCCAGCAGGCCATGTCGGTCGCTTGCAACTTTGACAAAGTGTTTTCCATCACTCCACACACGTACGTCGGCCTGCCAGGCCTCGCATCGGACACAGAGACGCTCCGCCAGACCTTCCGGCATCGGATCAACATGTACAAGATGAAGGAGGAGCGCACGATCCAACCCGAGACGTTTGCCAAGCTCGTCAGCAGCACGCTGTATGAGCGTAGATTTGGGCCGTACTTTGTTGAGCCCGTCATCGCGGGTATCAACACTGAGACCAACGAGCCGTTCATCGCCGCAACAGACCTCATTGGCTGCATCAACTTTGCAAAGGACTTCGTCGTCAGCGGGACTGCCAGGTGAGTCAGGGTGTCGTTTCTATTCAAGGAAGATCGAAGGGAGGCATGAGTAAGTAATGCAAGGAGAGCAGGAGGACTGAAGAATTCTTCTCTCTCTCACTCTTTGCAGCGACAAATTGTTCGGAATGGCAGAGGGCCTATGGGAGCCCGATCTGGAGCCTGAAGATCTCTTCGAGACTGTATCGCAGACGCTGCTCGGCGCGCTAGAGCGCGATGCGCTAAGCGGATTGGGCGCCATCGTCCGAGTGATGTGAGTCTCTAACTCGAGCGCAGACTGCTTGTAGCCTCACCGATCTTGCTATCGAACTTTGTCGCTGATGTTCCCGTGATCATTTTCACAGCACCCCGGATAAGGTCATCGAGCGAACATTGCGTTCACGAAAAGATTAAGGCCATGACTCGACCAGAGAACACTCTTTGTATCACTAGCACAAGACAATAGCATTCTTGGGCGATTGCATCTACAATACGCCATCTGCATGGTGCAGATATCTGTGCTGACGCGTTACACATCCTACTGATCCGCACTGGTGCAACCACACCTATCGATGCTTGCAGGCCTCACTGCAAGAACACCTGCGTAGCAGAAATTGCCTCTGCACGCGCTGCTTCGAGTGCCTTGACCCAAGCAGCTGCAGCACGCGGAGAGCTGGCGCGTAAGCTGACCTTTTCGTACTTGCCGCCAGCTGCACTGCTGCTGCTACTGCGCGCATGGTGCACGATGGTGAACCCACTCTCGTCCCGTCCACTCAGCTTTCCTACCAGCTCGCGCACGCTGATCTCCTCCAATGAAAATGGCATGTGGTATAGCTGCGCATTGCCACTTTCTGTGCCGTTGCTCAGAGTCTGAGTGTGGCTGCTCGCTCCTGCCAGCAGGAGCAGGACCATGTCGTTGCACAGGAGGACCCGCAGCTTGCGCCCCGATTTCGCCTTGGAGAGGTACTCGGATTTGAGGATGCGGCGAGGCCCCATGAAGCGCGTCGGTTTGGTCAGATCGAGGCGCTGCCATCACAGATTGCCAGGGTCGTCAGTACCTTTCCTTGAATCAATCCAGTTGCTGGCACAAGTACTCACCGCTTGGCCGATGAACAAGCACTCGCTCAATCGCTTCAATTCTTCCGTGGTCTCTTGTTCTCGGATCGCCTCATTCGTTTCATTCAGAATGGCATGCGCAGAGCCCAGAGCAGTTCGAACGGCTGCGTGGTCTGCATGATCCGCGTCGGTGTAGCGTAAAATGTGTTCTAGCAGTAGCGGGTAGCGCGTGATTCTTTGCACTATTGACGGGCCAATCGTCAGTCAAAGAGACCATTGCAATTTCCCCATGAACACACTGTAGGCGGGTACTCACTGGGTATTAAAAGGAAACTGGAAAGGTCCATTTTGCGCGCCGACGGGTGCATTTCACGCAAACTTTGCAGGCGCTGCTCAATAGTCGGATCGCGTCGACGCTCTGATGCAAGGATTTCGGCTGCTGACGATTGGTTGACGCAGTACGGTAGACTGTTTTAATAGCATAAGGTGAGACGATCCAGGATACGGCAGAAGCAAAGTTCGGAATCAGATGACTTACTAGGCTTGCATATTCGGCATGTGATTTTCGAGGACATCCCCGATTTGATCGATGTACAGCCTGCTCTCGCGCTGACGGTCTTCAAGATCTGACAGTAAAGACGCAGCGGCCAGCAGCACGTCTTCAATATTCGCAAAGATGACCGTGCTCGCTTTCGTGCTCAGGAGCGACTGCATGGAATTGAAGAAGACCTGAAGCGCGCGTGTCAGGAGGTACTCACACTGTCATGTCGACCTTTTGACAGAATACGCTCACCTCTACGATAATCTGCATGTCGCGGACATGCGAGTTCTCCGTTAGAATGAATTCAAAGATCGCTTCTTGGCGCTTGCGCTCGCGCTCAGGTATCATATCCAGGGCCGGTGCCCCCACGAGATCCGACCATGATGCACCGCCGTTTGCTGTTCCTAAAGATGGACTCAGCGACGGACTCAGCGAGGTCGCCTCTTCGCCCATCATGCCTGAAGCTTGACTTGGCGCCGTGCTATTCATCGCCTGCGGGCTAGAGATCGGGCTAGAGATGGTCGGCGTCGTACGCCGCTCTGACGGAGGCGCGCTATAGCGCGGCCGCGACATGCTCTTGATTGCATGCAGCAGACCTGGGCTGCGCGTCTCTCCAGGTGAGTCGGGTGTCTCGACACGAGCCGGACTCGAGATTGATGGGGAGCTGAGCGACGGGGTCGATGGCATCGCTACATAGGCTTGGGGATGTCGATTTGCCGCTTCCTGCGACATCCGCACGTACCGATCGTATGCATCCTCCAATGTTTCCGCTGGAGCTGGGGGTGGAGGTAGAGGCCGTTCAGGAGCAGCTTTGAGTCTACGTGTGGATGAACCGCGGTGAGGCCGCTCAGGTCTTGCTTTCTTCGTCTTACGACGCTTGAGCAGACGATCAGGAACGTCTGGCTTTGACTTGGCAGCCGTACCGTCTGGATCAGGCCTGGAATCTTCAGCAGATACCAGCAAGCCCGCGGCATGCAGCACCTGGATTTGCTCTAGCGTCCTCTGTTGCCGCGCTTCATCTGACTCTTCCTCGCCATCCTCGTCATTCTCGGCCTCGCTCGATGTCCAGCCAGTCTCCGAATACTCCGAGTCATTCTCATCGTCGTCTACCGTAGAAGATTCGAGCGTGGGCGTCCCACGGGCCGCAGCGAGCTTCGAATCAAGGGAAGGCGGGACTGTTTGCGTAGAGGCTGAGTGGCCAATTAACGCAGAAGAGAAGAATGGTGTTCGTCCATTTCATTGATTTCGGAAAATAATGTTTTGTTTGTTTCGAGACACATGTGAGGAAAGCAATTTATACTCAGCGCCGGCCCTGACCAAAAATATTCACTGTGGAGCTCCATTCAGCGATCACTGACTCAAGAGTTCCAGGTATGTGGCCGGCGCGAGAAGGACGCTGCTCCCTCGGTCTACATGCCACCAGTTTTCGTCCTCCTGCGCGACGATCAGCACTTCCTCCTCCGCCGCGAGCGTCGTCTCGGCGGGTGAGGCTGCCTCATAGTCGTACAGAGCCTTTGCGCGTTGTACTGCAGATCACGCGGTACGAAGTGGTCATTAGTCTGTCTGTGCAACGTGCAGGGATAAATCGACTATCGCACTCACGATTTGACAACACTTGGATATATGTCTTGGGGAATAGACCCTTGCTGGCAGGGTTGGACGCCAGAGATCCGTACCACCAATCGCTGTCGTCCGCTTTGGCCGGGTGTGCATTGATTACATCGTTCTCTTGGAGCGAGAGATCTTCTGCCCTTTGGCCCTCGTAGGTGTACAGCGCGCGCACACGCAAGGATGTGGTGAGATCATAGTCTTCAAGCTCATCCCCGCGCGCTGCTGCTTCTGCTGCATACTCAGCCGTGGCATTTCCATTTCCATTGCCGTGGTCATTGCCGTTGAAGGACTTGTAGCCACCATCCACATCCTCGGGGCCCCCCTCCTCGCCACTGTCCTCCGCCTCCTCGATGACAGACGGCTGGACAGGTGCCTGGCTCGCCTTGTTGCCGTTGATCTGGTCATGCGCCATCTGACCCGCCCAGTCGACGCTCTGCCTGTTGGGGTTGAAAGCAAGCTCATCGGACGACGGGCTTTCCGCCGGTAGCGTCACAGGTACAGACATGGCAGAAGGCGGCGGGGAAGGCGGAGGGACGAATGTCTGCCCAGGTGAACTCAGATCGCTGAGGACTTTACCAGTAGCGAGAACTTTGCTCTTGTCAACGGTCTGTGTCTTTTTCAGCTTGAGACCACCTTGAATCTGCGAAAGGAGCGCCCCGCGATCTGCAGACGTCCCTACCGGGGCTGCAGCCATTGCAGGCGGGGCAGCGGGAGCCGCGGGCGCAGCAGGTGGCGCTGGCGCAGCTGGCGGAGCCGGAGCCGCAGTGGGCGTCTCGCTGCGGGTGGGGGTGGCAGAAGCAGGCGGTGTCGACTTGCCCGTTGTGGTAGGTGTAAGGCCGCTGAAGAGTTGCTGCGCGAGTGCCGAGCGTTTGGCACGCGTGCTACTTCCTGGGCCATTATCGTCGTCGTCATCGTCGTCATCCTTGTCCGAATCACCCCAGTCGTCATCAGGGGCGGTGGCACTCTTGGCAACGGCGACATTGACTCCGGCACTGCTGCTTGCAGGCAAGGACGCCACAGTGGGCGGGAGGGAGCGCTGAGCGGCAGGTAAGTCATTGCTCAGGAAGTGCGGCGTGTCGGCGGCAGCAGTAGAGCCAGCCTGCTGACTGCGCAAGAAAGGGTTAGTACTGTTGCCAGTGTTGCCGGCACCGCCGGTTGGAGTCAGCGTCGGCAAAGCAGCGTTAGAACTTGCGGGGCTGCTGCCGGCAGCCTGCATGCGATGGAATGGATTGGTACCACCACCAGCACCAGGCGGCGGCGCCGAGCCAGCAGGAAGGCTGGGTGCAGGGGCGGCAGGCGCAGCAAGCGTGGGTGGGGCCCTGGACCTTGTCGGTGGCGCAGGCGGTGCAGCACTCTTGACCAGCTTGCGAGCGGGCGGGGGCAGCGCAGAGAAAGTCGAAGAAGGCTGCTGCTGTTGCTTGAACAGTTCCTGTTTCTTCTTGAACGACTCTTCCTGCCGCTTGATCTCCTCCTCCTCTTCCTCGAGCCGCTTGATACGCGCGAGCCGCTCTGCCTTCTGCTTGGCGATAGCCTCCTCGCGGTTGCGCAACATCTCCTCATCCTCATCAACCTGCTCGTGTTGCGTGGTGTTGGAGGCCAGTGGCGGCTGGTGCGTGCTGCGCTCAGAGCTGGCGATCTCCTGCTTGACGACCGCGACTGCATGCTTCTCGCGCTCAAGCTTCTGCTCCTCGAGGCGCACGCGTCGCGCCTCGTCGCGCGCAGCCGCCTCGCGGTCCGCCTGCGCGCTGCGCGCCTCAGCCTCGGCGCGCTCCATCTTGAGGCGCTCCTCGACCGTCGTATCGACACCGGCGGCGGCAGCGGGCACGGGCAACGGTGCGCCTAGGCCGAGCGCACGCATGCGCTCCTGTACCTTTTTCTGCGCCTGCTCGCGCAACCATGCGGCGCGCTCCGGGCCCGACAGGTTTGGCGGGGGGGTGCTGATGCTCGTTGCTGGCGCTGCTGCTGCTGCCGGCAGTGGAGGCGGCGGAGGCGCCGAAGCAGACGTAGCTGCGCCTGCTGTTGACTCCGTAGGTGGTGGCTGCGGAGGCGGCGGAGCGGTATCCCTGTAGCTTTTGCGCTCATACGTTCTTTTGATCTCGTGATCCTCCGCGACACGCGCAGAGCTGGCAGAAAGTGAAAAAGCCTCGAATTCACTTCCGTACTTGCTGCTGCTACTGTTGGTAGCAGCAGCAGCGGACGAGAACTCGTTCCTGCGGTTGCGCGCGTCGCTCTGCTCCCTCTCGCGCGCGCGTTTGCGCTGCTCGGTCTCCTCGATGCGCTTCTCGAGCTGGGGGAGGCGCTCGTGCTGAAGGTGCATCAGCTCGCGCTCCGCCTTGCGGCGGTTGTCCGAGCTTTGCGGACCAGGGCGGCGGTTGTAGTACTCAATGTCGTCCTGCACGCGTCGGATCTGGTAGCGGAGGTCGTCCATCTCGCGCTGCAGCTCGCGCTGGTCCAGCTCCTCCTCGTCGTCGCCGGCTTGGCTGTCAAGCATCTTTTGCGTGTTGGCAAGCTGCCGCTTCATCTCGCTTAGGTCGTCCGCAGCGCTCTGGCCCTCGTAGCGGACCGCCTTGCGGTCAATGTGCCGCGAGCTGGATCTGTACGTCAAGCCGACGTCCGTGTCATCGTTTTTGAAGGCTGCCGCGTCACCTACACCGCGCGGGCCGCTTCCGCTGCTACTGCCGGTATAATTGTTACCCTGCCTGTCGATGGGGTTCTGGTGGAAGGAGCGGACTTTGACGTAGGCGGCGTTGGCGTTGGTGCCAGATTCGGGGAGGTTGAGCGCAGTTGCGTTGCGAACGGACGAGTCTTTCTTGAGTAGGTCTTTGAGAAAGTCGACGGAGTCGTTCAGGTCCTTGGCGGACGCTGGCAACATCTCTGGGGGAAGTTCTTGCGGAATGTCGTTGCCGTTGAGTGCTGCATGCAGCACCAAAAGCAAAGGGAGGAGAAATAGATACATTAGACGGATAGCTGCAGATGAGATTTCATCCAACACGCACCTCTGTAGATGAGACCCATAGCGACGTGGAACTCGGCCAGATTGAGCTTGCCGCGGTTGTTGGTGTCGGACAGGTGCCAGATCTGCATGAGGCGGTCGGTGTCGAGACCACTCTGCCCAAAGACCTCTCGAGCGACGTCTCCGTCGAGGAAGCCAGTACCCTTTTGGTCCCAGGCACGGAAGACCTTGTCGTAGCTGCGCTTCTCATCCTTGCTGAGCGCCCAGGGAATCTTGGGCTCATTTGTGCCCTGCTGCTGCCGCGAGAGGTTCTGTATGGTGGACTGAAACGTGGCGGGCTGCATAGACTGCTGTGAGAAGTTCATGTTGGACGGTGAGGCGTACCCGCCAGAGTAGGGCTGGAGCGCTGGTGCAAACTGGGCCGACATGAGCTGCAGGCGTGGGTCAGAGATGGGCATGCCGGTCATCTGCGGCATAACGCCGCCTCCTCCGCCGCCGCCACCGTAGAAGCTGGTAACCTGCGGTTGAAGCATGCCGCCTTGTCCTCCGGCGGAACCAATGCGAGAGGAAAGACCGCCACCCATGCCCATGGGTGGTACGCCAAGCCTCTGCTGAGCTGGGCCGCTCATGTAGCCGGTCTGTTGCGGTGCAAGTCCTCCAGCGCTTCCAAAGCCCCCAATACCGCCACGCATGCCCATTCCAATTCCCATCGGTATGCCAGTCATCTGGGGGATCATGCCAGTCATCTGGGGGATCATGCCAGTCATCTGCGACAGCATGCCCGTCTGCACGGGTTGCTGCATCTGCTGCATCTGCTGCACCTGCTGCTGCTGCTGCTGGAACCCGCCGCCGGGGCCGGCGTGGCCCCCATAGGGAGCGCCGCTGACGCCGCCTGCTCCGCCATACATTTCGCCGATGGCGGGGGTGGGGTGGCCAGACAAGGGTGTATGTATGCTGTTGCCAAGCCGAGCTGTGCGTGGTGTAAGGGTAGGATGGTACATCGGAAGGAGGGAAGATGCATCTATAGTAGATGAAGGGGGTTACATACGATAGGATCTGGTGTCCTCCGTTAACTCAGACACTGCGCGCTGGTGCCCCCTTCGGGCACTACGGCATACTCGACTCGACGCCGGGGCCACCCAGCCTCCATTCCAACCCTACTCTAGCGGCCCACTCCGTTAGAAACCCCTCAAGCAAAAAAGGGCTGGATGCTCGATGGTCAAGCCCTTGTCGCCGCCTTGCTGCCTCGCGGATATATATACCTCGAATAAGCCTGCTTGCGTCGTTGCAGGAGGGTGCCGCAATGTCTGCTGATGCGTGCGATGGATGCCCCTGAATTGGGAGGAAGCTGCTTTCATCCCTCTCTGTCCGTCAGTCTTTCATTATTTGCAATGATGGATTGTACACGTTTGCAAACAAACGCACCCGCCTCCTTCACCATTCACCGCTCTCACGTCCCAAACCCGCTCCACGTCAAGCTGAAGTGCACGACTTGTCCCCACTTGTGTGTGTACTCATCCTCCCTGCGCAGAACATCCCCCCTCTCCTCACCGACATCGGCACGCGCGCCGCTAACGCCGCTGATCAGGTGCGCCTTCTTCACAGCTGTACCGAGGCGGCCGTTGGCGATTAGCTCCATGCATGGCAGCGGTGCTGTTGGCGATGCGCGGACCGTGCATGTAAAGTGCGAGTGGTAGCGCAGTGGGTCACCTGTGCACCATCCCGGTGGGTACATGTTCAGACGGATCGTCATCTGCAAGTCAGAACCAAATACAAACTCACCAGGATACACGACAAAGTCGCCACCGAATCGCAGGCCAATGCCCATGTAGTACCCTCGCGCCTGCAAATCCTCGAAAGCGGCGCATTTCGCGCGCTCCATCTGGTTGCGTGGGTAGAAAAAGTCCTTTGCTCCCTTGGCCGATGAGAGCGTGGTGTGTATCCGTGGCCGTGAACAGGAAGCGGAGGCTTGGGCATGTGGGTGGTACCAGTCCATAGGAAGATGCGGCTCCAATGCAGAGCCGGATGTTACGTGCGGGTGATTGGGCCTGGCCGTCAATGAGGCTCTTTCTTGGCCTGCTCGAGACACATCGTGCTGCTCTGATGCAGAGGTAGAAGGTGAGGAGGACGCGCTGAGATCCGGCGCGAAGACCTCCAGGCTGTTGTCTGCGACTGCTCCTCCCCCCGAAGCGCCGGTAGTAAGAGGCTCGTTTCCTTGCTGGTGCTCTTGCAATGCTGCTATCGCCGCACGCTTGCGCTTGTCCTCTCTCTGTAGCCGTTTCTCTAGAGCCTTTTGCAGCAGGTCCTCCTGCTTTGCTTTCCCTCCCTTTCCCACTGGAGAATCAGACTCCGATTCGGAGGCAACACCACCAGCGGCGCCACTCTGCACATCCTCCGCATCACCGACCATGCTGCCTGCCTCGCTGTTTTCCCGGCTCATGGCTGCTTTTTGTAGCAGCCGCTCGATCTGAGCGCCTTTGGTATTTGCAAGATTTTGAGAACTCTGCGTCGCTTGCTGCCTTTGATCCTCCTTGGCCGCCGTATAATATCGCTCCATCTCTTCTGCAGTAGGCACGTCAAACGCTCGCTCATCGGCGATAAGGATGATTGCGCGCTTCCGTATGAGATAGACCACTTCTTCCGGGAATAGCTGGAGTGGCAGGCCCAGAAAGACATTCTGTTGCGGGATCAGCGGGAGCGTGCCGGAGAGTAGACCACAGATGTGGTGCTCGGACCGCAGTCGCGAGGCATCTGAGGTGACGGTATCACGTGCAGAAAGTTCAGTGGTTTGGCTTATTATTCTAAGCCCCAGCATCATGTGCTCACCTTGCACCCTCCAGACATAAGCATGGCCATCGACAAGGTGGACCGGAACCTTACCCGGATAGCGGGCTTCCAGTGCTCGAAGCGCCGAGGAAGGCGACCATGACGGGGCACTGTCCGCCATGATGTTGTGCAGCGGTACGGCCCTTGAATCTTCGATCTGGTACATCCACCGCAGCTCTCCGCGGCCGATGAATGGCGCAAGCGTGCTGCAGATGGCAAACGGCTCGTGCTTCGAGATCCATTCGAGGCAGTTTATTGATCGATAGAAATATACGTTGATCGCACAAAATTTCGTACAAGGTTCTCTTCATCTGCGTCGGAAGACCCGGCCAAGAAGACACTCCAAAGGGAACGAGCTGCGCAATCAAGTAGGGTTGTGATATCTTGCTCCACACATTACACGCAACACAAACATCTCGCTGGAGCGCCACTCACCACTCTAGTCTCACCGTGCAGGCACTGCACCACTTTCTTCACCCTCTCTGTAACATCCATCCCTCTTTTGGAATGGATTACCACCGCCAGCTCCTCTTTTGCATCCTTGCGCAGATGAATAACGCTTAAGGACGCTGCTGCTGCTCACCGACCTCTCAAAGGCTCGCTGACTCGAAAGAAATCAGCTTCATTCATCATGGCGCAGACGACCGTCGCCACTGCTGCTGGTGCAGCGACTGTGCAAGTCACTGGCCTCTCTGCCACCACCACCAAACAATCACTCGAAGAATACTTCTCCTTTTGCGGCTCCATCGCCTCCTCGTCAATCGAAATAGATGCTGATGTTGCTGACAAGCAGAAAGCAACTGTCACTTTTCTCAAGAGCAGTGCCGCCAGCAATGCTGCGATGTGAGTGGCGTCAGAAGTCTACCAAGTCGACCGACGACAAACGCTGCAGGTGGCTCGCTGCTGATAACACGTGTGAATGTCTCTGAGCAGGCTAAATGGCGGTCAGCTCGATGGAACCACGGTCCACGTGGCCATCCCTTGCGCAGAGGCATCCGTTGCAACAAAAGGCGTACACACTGTCCCTATCGTCAATACCTCTTTCGCCGCCGGCTACAAACTCGCGCAAGAGGACAAGCCGCACAGCGCCATTGTTGCCGAAGTCCTCGCGCATGGCTATAAGCTGAGCGACGACATCACCAAGCGTGCCATCGAGCTCGACAACAAGCATGGCCTCAGCACGCAGTTCCGCTCCTACCTTGAGCATATCGATCGCCAGCTCGGCCAGCGCTACGCGCAGGCGCAGGTCAAGAACGCTGACGCTTCCACCACGCAAACCCAGGAGAAGGCCAAGGACGAGGAGGTCCAGCAGGCTGTCGCTGAGGAAGATGCGAGCAAGTTGCCGGCTCCGGGCGCCATTGCAACCTCCGAAGGGCTTACCACCACGACAGAGGTGCTTTCTGCAGGTGCTGCCGCCACGGGCTCGCAAGGCCAGTCCACCTCGTTTGTTGCACAGGTTCAGTCGCAGGCACATAAGGTGCTCAATGATCCAAACAGCATCGTCGGACAAGCCCAATCGCGCGCCAACGAGATCCTTAACCGCCCCGATGTCAAGTCGCGCACCGATTTCGTCTGGAGCAAGTTTGGCGAGTACTATAACAAGGCGGCGAATCACCCTTCCATCAAGGGCTTTTACGAAAAGGCCAGCAAGACTGTCGCTGACGTTCACGAGGAGGCCAAGCGGATCAAGGAGCAAAAAGCTGCAGGGGACCCCACCGGTGCTACAGGGAGCAACGTGGCGTCTTTGCCAGCCGGCGTGCCGGCGCCATCCTTCATAAGCAAATCTTCCTCATCCTGGCTTCTCGTCGCTCTCTTGCTTTTTAGCTCGATCAGCATCCAGGGTACTCTTGCACATGGAGGGATAGGTGAAGAGATGCACCCGGCAGATATTGCCGGCGTCAAACCAAACAAGCCGGGCGAGGAGAGCTACGTGCAGAAGCACATGGCATCCGAGCACCACATTGGCGCGTTCGACCTCGGCAGCTTCTTTAGCCTACACGACCTCAACCGTGACGGCGTGCTTGATCGCGCAGAGATTGAGGCTATTTATGGCGTCCACCACTCGACATCTGTCAAGCACTCTCCTTCCCCAGAGGTGCATGACGAGAAGGCTGAGAAGGTCGTCGCCGAGGTGCTGCGCCGCCTCGACTCCAACAACGACGGCATGGTGACAAAACGTGAGTTCATCAACGGCGGGCCGAATGGCCTTCCTGCTTTCGAGCAGTACGGTAAGGGTGTCCTGGGCCACCACTACGATGAGGAGTCCGAGTACTTTGTCCACCATGAGGAGATCTACCACAACACGCCAGAGTCGCAGAAGGACGAGTCGTACAACCACAAGGCGGATGTGGAACACTTTGCGCACCATGAGGCCATCGAGCGCGAGGAGGAGCAGCGCGAGCGGCACGCCGAGGGCATGCTGTCCATCGAAGAAGATGAGCGGATGCGCAAGGAGGCCGAGGCCAAGGGACAGACGTACAGGTCGCCGTACGAGGCGCAGCAGCACGCGGCTGGTGTACACGATGGTGTGTTCTACGGGGCGCAGAGAGGCGAGTACTACGGCGGCTATGCCCAGGAAGAGGCGCAGGGCGACCAGCACATCTTCCGCGGGCCCAGCGGCGCACACCTCGTCAAGAGCCACGCCGCCACCGACGGCATGCACGACCAGGAAGAGCATCGCCTCCCCGGCGAGACCAGCGAGGGCTACTCGCAGCGCAGGCTGCTCTGGGAGCAGCGCAAGAACGCAGCCGCGTACTTTGAAAAGCTGCAGGAAGACCAAAACAAGAATGGCAAAGGCGGTGCAGGTATTGGCGCTGCGAGCGGCACAGTCAAGGTGCAGAAGCTACCCGGCGAGTCGGACGAGGCGTACCGGAGCAGGCTCAATAAGGCCAAGTGGGCTGCGGAAAAGCAGCAGGGTGCAACCAAGAAGGCCATGCCAAAGGATCCGGCCATGAAGAAGGGTGCACCGTACAAGGTGAGTAAGCGGATGTACCGACCGTCCTTTCGAGAGTCTTCCCCTGCGCGTGCGAACATTGATCCGACTGGTTGCGCTCCCAGTACCCTCCCATCGGTCAAAAACAGAGCCGTCTCAAGAAGAGCTCATATTTTGGAGAGTTTTGAGCTCACTTCCGATTCTTTGCTTCTCCCTATTGTCCCTGGACACCGATTCTGCGCACTATGTCTCACTACACTCCTTCCCAGTAATCTACGAGTACACACTCTCCGTTCATTCGTTTACTGTGCATGCATGTTTTCTTGTATGCTTTTGCCACTTGGGATCCGTACGCTTTGATATGGGGCGTTGAGATCTTGGAGGACAGTGAAGTCATGCCTGGTCGGTTGGTTTTCAAGAGGCCTTCGTGTTTTCGGTTACGTTGGGCACTGCCATGGACTCGCTAGCCAACGCCGAAGCATTGGCTCATAGGTCCAAGACGATCAAGCTCTCCATTCCTCCTGCCGTCTTCTTACCATGCCACTCCTTCTTTCCAGCATTCTACATGCTCTTTCGTCCTTCGCTGCGCTCTCTTGTCATTGCCATATAGGGCTAGTACTTGGCGTGGATCAGTGCGCGTATGGTCTTGCGAAGGCTGTCGATGGATGATAGTCGGTCGAATTAGGTAAAACCGCTGACACATAAGTACGCAAAGGCAACCTGTCGATGCGTATGACATGCCACGTGGAAAAAAGCTCTGACCGGGTCTTTCAACTTGATATAGCTTTGCTATAGTCAGGCGAGTCCTTTCGGCTGGAAAGGAACCAGCAGTTCGCAGATCAGCATAATCCTGGCCTGGAATGCCCTGAGGAAGCTTATGGCGTGGTCGTGGGAGGCCACCACAATCTCAATCAGCCGCCCATATCATATGAGCATCACAATGAGCAGTAATAGAAAGAGGACCTGATAACACGCAAAGAGCGTCAGCGAGTACCTTGGCGCCGGAGTGCCAACGTATGCGGTCTCACCACAATTAGAATCCACACACACCACCCTCCTAGTCGCTCGTCACTTCGTTGTAACAAGTCGTCCATCCTGTCCATTGCTCTCTGCAGCCGATTCTGCGTCGAATCCACTTCTGTGTCCAGCGCGCCCACAAGCTCGAGTTGCTCGCCGACCTCCTGGCCCATGGCCGAGGCTTGTGATCGAAGGTTGGTCAACGTCGAACCTATCCGATCGAGGGTTGAGTCTTGTTTTAGCATTAGTTGCTCTTGATGTTCGCGCTCGAACGCTTCGTTTGGATCCTCTTCGTCATCCGCGTGCCCGTCCATTTCGTCTTCTCTTGAAGCCGAGTAGGTCCGCCCTGCTTTGCCACCGAAGGACGGCGCCTGCGCTGATTGCGACATTGACCGAGACAGATCCTGCGACAGAGAGGATATCAGCACAGGCTTAGCTTTTTCCTAATGATTGTCGACGCACATCGATCTGTCGCTCGCAGTCTTGCACAAACCGTCGCCGCTGATCGATTTCGGCCTCATCGAGGCCAAATCGTTTCGGCACACGGCTGACAACGTCGACGCTTTGCTTAATGTCCTCGAGGTCCGACTTCAGGCCTTCTAGCGCATCTTGTAGCTTGTCACAAGACGAAGTGATCTCAGCCTCGGTGTAATGTGATCGATTCTGGCGGAGGGACTGGTAGGATCGAGCGAGATCCTTGGCCGACTCGAGGTCGGTGCGCAGATCTCGGGCAAACTCGTGGTATGGATCATGCGACATTTTTGGATATGGGGTTCCAGACGTGTGCGATATTGTTACATGCAACCTGGCAGTGCAGCGACAGTAGCAGCAGGCCCAAGGAGTACGAGTTGCGTATGCAAGCTAAACCTCACTCTCATCTATGCACACCCGATGAATACGGGGGCATGATGCTGAGGTCGTTTTGTTTGTCGGCATCTTTTCGTATCCATCGGCGACTTCTTCGGGGCACTCAATAATTTCCATTATTCAAGAGCGTACAGCTGGTACCGCTATGATCCATTGAGAACTAGGAACACATTGTCAAGACGTTGCGATCATTTTTCCCTGATGTAAGGGTGTGCCAGGAAGAGGAACCGCCTCACCTAAATGTCAAAGCTGACGAGAATCAAGTCTTATTGCGCTCTTAACGTAAACAACGTCGGAACAGGGTGTTGGCCACTTCATCATGGCTGATGCCGCTGCAGCTTTTCATGCGGAAACGGCAGCCACTGCGGAGTCTCTCTTCCAGAGCGTCCTAAGCGAGGCCTCTGCTACTGTCCCTGGCGCAGGCGCAGGCAAAAATACTGAAACTACGCCAGGAGATGAGGGAACCGCGAATGGTGCGCAAAGAGATGGGCAGCCGGGTTCGAGGTTCAGCGCTCGCTTGCGCGGTCGGCGCTTGCAATTATCCAATCCTGATCGACCGATGCCACGCCCAGCACAAGGGAGCACACAGGCGAAATCACAGGCGAAGAGGAAACAGCGCATGACGAAAAGATGGCGGCGAGCTTTGCGAGCAGAGGCAAGGCGGGACAGATCATATCAGCCTACTGAATTCGATCTGAATCCACCGCTCAGTCGTAGGCCAAAGGCCGGAAGACTCTCTTTGGAAGACTGCAAAGCCGCAACTAGGTGAGAAAATGAGAGTACACTGCTGCACGACCGAAGATGGACACTTGGCTTACCGTGTTCTTTGCGATATAGCGTTGAGTTGCTCGAGGTCACTCACAGGATGTGGGTGTCGTACGTGCAAGATATCTTGGGCTTGCGCAAGGCAACTTCCCTCGCCTCTTTGCAAGAGCAAGCTGAACGCCATGATCAAACTGTCGGGGAGCAGGCTCAAGCGATTACTGGCTCGCTCAGCGTCAGCGCACCTACCACGCTTAGCAAGGCGGACTTGACAGGTGCGACATTGAAAGGTGTGTTTCTCTGTCTCGACTATCTTGTCAAGGTTGACCCTTAATAGGTGCATCGAACTTTTTACCGAATCTGCCTACGCAGTGTCCCATTCTTCAAACGCCTCTTGCATCGGGATATCGGGCATTGTCATCCAAGAAACAGAACAGACCCTGATGCTTGGCACACCTCTGTGGCTCGACTCTGAGGGCAAGGGCAAAAAGAAGAGGAATAATAACTTGCACCGTTCTCCAGCAGATGCAAATAATGGAAGGGCAAGGCGGCTCGACAATTATCCCTTAGTCAGACGTGAGTGCATTTTATGAGTTCTTCGCCACGGCTGGGCGAACTTGTCGCTTATACCTTTACTGTACATTGTCCCTTTAGAAATCTCAAAGCACAACAGCAATTTCCTGGTCATGATTCCCGTCCCGCCAGCTACCACGTTCCAGGAGGCCACAGCTCTCATTGAGCTAGAGCTCTACGGCAATCAGATGAAATACGTCTTACCCAGTCGAGCCACTCGCAAGGCGAAACAGCGCAAGACGATCGAGATATAGTAGACCGGAGGGCCGGTACGCCGCCAGGAATGCGGCGCGCTCACTAACCACATGTTCTCTTGTATATGTATCCATAGTACATTTGTATATTAGCCGGCTGTAACAAACCCTTGCCGATGCATGTCGTGCTGTTCGCCGCCTATCCGAAACAAAGCAAGTGTCGCAGGTCCTGGGAGTTAACGTTCAGCAAGTTAGGGTTGTGCGCATCAGCCCTAATCGCGCGGAACTGGACATGAATGGTGTTGACTGATATCATGGAGAGTCCCGTCTCGGTTGTGATGTAGTGCGCGGCGCGGGCGCGGGCGAGAGCCGAGTGTGAGTTGTGTGCTTATCGACGCACCCAAAATCGCACAATCAAGAGAGCTCGGACCCCACCCGCATCGTACTGACAGCTGCGCATTAAGTAGCGGGAGCATCGACACCCACTCATTAAGCCGGAGGCGCTTGACCTTTATTTCCATGCTGGCCAAAGGAACGGGCAAAGCCCTCAGAGCGCCTATCTCGTCAAGCTCTGTTTGCGCGGTCAACTGGCCGCTGTGTTAGCTTTTGCGTGCCATCACCAAAGGTCAAGAGGAGCCATCACCCCTTCCTCCTCGTCGTACCAACACAATCTGTTCGGAGGTTCCCGTCACCTTTTCTCTGAAACTTACGGCCAATTTAAACGTGCAGGTGCATTCAAGGGCAGGTATCAAAATGAGTAACTCTTCCAGCGATAATGCATCGACCCGCGATAGCATGGTTGCCAGCGCCGACATGTGTATGCCTGTTGCCATCGTTGTGCAAATGTGGCAGGGAAACTCTTGGGAGACATCAAAGAAGAGGGATGAACGGATGGTCAAAGTCGAGCCTTCTTGTGCTACGAGCATTCGCTTTGGGAGAGGTAGGATTCGTACCCTCTCGCAAGTTCAGGGCCAACCTGCAGAAGCGAATGACTTCAGCGTCCCCGCGCTATACTCTCGCACCGTCTCGCGCCTGCATGCGACCCTCGTCATCGCAGCTACCAATAATCCTCACTCCATCTGCGAGAAAGACTGGAGAGTGCAGCTTATGGACTTGTCTTCGACGCACGGAACTTCTGTCATCCGCGGCGAGAGAAGGGTCGACGGCGAATCTTTGCTCAGCCTGCCCATGCTCATGAAGCTCGGTGACGAAAGGGAAGACGAGCACGGAGTCATTCATCCAGGCGTTTATGTCAAAGTGAGTTGCTCTTAAAGGAGCTGATATGCGGGTGATACTTGCAAGTTGAAAGCTTGGGTGTTGCAGATCTTCCTCGAAGTGACTCGCCCCCATATCTTGACGACAACTATGGATGATCCAGAGGTGTCTTCGAAACCCCGCTCAGGGCGCATTATTCTCGAAGATGACGAAGAAGAAAGGGGGACTTGCCCCGACCAAGAAGATCAGTGCAGCGGAGCCGGCAGCCAAACAATCAAAGATTTACCCTTTGTGTGTTTTCCATGCGCGAACTTGTTGGGAGAAGACGTTGACTCGGTCCATAATGACAATGACGACGGCTGGACATACACGGTCAAATACGACAACTTCTCCGAGCTCGATATCTGCTGCACCAGATGCAGCATCTCCGAACATCAGCGCCAAATCGACACGCGTGGACACTGCGCACTGTGCGATAGGGCTGCTTGTCGTGAGTGCACTGCTCTGCTCAGGGTCAAGACCAGCGGCCCATCAAGCGAAGGTGAAGGCGACGCCTGCATCGTCTGTCGCCTCTGCGACCACGTTCTCGATATAAATCTTGGCTGTCTATGTGTGTCCGAGCGCCGCTACGATTTCCTTATGGGAAATCTGGATACAACTCCTCGAGGAATATCCTATGCCGTCGTCAAGGGAGCAAATGACAGCTTCTGTGGCAGGGATACGGAAGCCAAAATCTTTGCGGACAGCTCGGATGAGGCGTCTATTGCTACAAGTTGCGAAGAGGATGGCGACTGCTCTGAGACAATGGACAACGTCAATCTCGACGCTAATCAAACACCTGCTATCCATCGCGTGGTTTCTTCGCAAAATGTCACGGCCGAGCAGGTGGAGGCGCCCCTGTCTCCTTCGCAGAAGGTGACGCTGGTCCCCGAACAAGAAATGACGGACGTTCAGTTAGTGCCAAGTAGTGACGTACCGGCTGTGCCTGGAGCGTACTCGGAGTCTTCAAGCGCCGGACTCTCCGAGGTCGCTGTTGCCCACATTCCTACACCAGTAGCAGCAGCTGCTGCGCAAGAATACATGGGCACGCCGATAAAGTTTTCAAACAGGCGCAAGCATAGCAGCCATTCGTTTGCAGAGGAGAATCTCGCCGCTTCTCCATCTGGCTCCAGCACTGATTCAGCCATCAACCTCAGCAACTCTCCCAGCCCATTTGACCGAGAGTCAAAGCGCACGAGACGTGAGCGTGCACGTGACATGCTTGCAGCCGGTGTTGTTGGAAGCATCGTCGGTGGCATCAGCATGTTCGCTGGCCTCGCAGCCCTTGGCGCCTCTACCGATTGAATGACAAGCGTCCCCCCAACCTCGATGAATACCGAGCTCGATTTCCGATTCGCCTCGTCGGTCCGCACAAATTCATTTTCACAAGACTCACAATTATCACAATGTTGACTTAAGAGGCCACAGCTGAACCTGTTCGCATCGTTACTTTTCACAATTTGTTCATTGCACTTTCGCATTCGTCCGCCCACATTGGAGAAGTACCCATATTTGCTCCTGTCCCAGCATGTATAACTTTACCTTGACCTGTATTTTTAACTGTTGTTTCAATTCAGAGACTTTGCAAGATCACAAAGAGTTGGCGCGCACATGCGATGATTTTCTCTCCACATGTTTACAAATGCTGGATTCCATATAGAGACAAGCGAACATAGACAATTAAAAGTGATTGCTGGTTTGACAAGCGATTTGGACTATAGTCTCAATTAAGCTTCTTACTCTGTTGAGACGGGAAGTGCCCAATCTTGGAAAGCTTGAACACCCTTTTGATAAGAGCATCCTTAAGGAAAGGTGGAAGATACCAACAGGTCCAGGCCATCGAGCTAGCGGGGCCCACGGTGAGATAAGCGCCTTTGCGGCCCAAACTCTTTCCATCGCCCAGGCTCCCGTGCTGCTCCATGTGCTTGACCACTTGCTTCACAAATATGCGCGCAGGCATCGAGTTACCTACCTGGCTGATCTGCGCACGTGCCCTGACTTGATCTAAAACGTGGGCATAGTTGCCTCCATCGGGTGGGGTGTCGATGTCCGACTCTCCCTTGTCTCCAAAGTGACTCTTGATCTTTCCCGGTGCGACGACGATGACTTTAATGCCAAACGGTTCCAGCTCGAGTCGCATGGCGTCGCTGATCGAGTGGGCAGCAGCCTTGGATGAGTTGTACGCCGCGGAGTAAGGAAGCGCAAGATAGCCGACGATGGAGCCGATGTTGACGATCATACCGGCTTTGGCCGTACCTTGCTGACGAGCGTAAGGGATCATGTGCTTTGCCACAGCCTGGGTGACGCGCAAAAGTCCAAAGACGTTCACGTCGTAAGTCTGGGTGTAGCGATCGACGCTGACTTCGACCGCGGGCCCAACGCCAGTGTTGACACCGGCATTGTTGACGAGGACATCTGAGATGAAGTAATGCAAAGGGTCTTCGGTCATTAGGAATCTCATTGCGAGCACCTCTGCCCCACTCTACACACCGATTCTGCCCGCCGCGCGTATCACATCTTCCACCGCATGGTCGACACTCTCCTGGTCTGAGACATCCATGTTGATCCGCTCAATGGTAAGCGGCAGGGTGCGCATCTTCTCCATATTTCGGGCCGTAGCAAAGACGCGGTAACTGGATGTACTATCTAGGGCGACGGCAAGCTCGTATCCAATACCGCCTTCGGAACAGCCAGTGATCAAAACCACGCGTCGCGGGTCCTGCGCGGTCGACAATTCCTCGGGAGTGTGATTTATGCGCGACATGGTGGTTTCGTGTGCAGAGCGCTCAGGGTCTGGCCGTTTGTTCCGACGGGGAGGGACGAGCAATCGAAGCCGTTGCTCAGGATGCGGGCAGATATGAGGAACCCAAATGAAGGCTGGTCGAGGAATCGAAGCCAAGATGCCAATGCCACCAACCACCGTCATCCCAAAACAGAACAAGCCTGGGTGTATGTATAGGAACCCGACCCCACTCGCAGCCGCTGGTTGCAGTGCATTCGAACTGTGCCGATGACCGATTATCGATTCACATGCGCCAGGCCTGCGAATCCAGTGAGCATCCGCCTGTTGGGGTGGGGGAGGGGGCAACCTTCCCGTTGCTTTCAGTAATATTCGAACATACTGTGGTATCGGTGCAACAGAAGGTGTTATGGAGTTAGGGTTGGACGCCTTCAGCATAAAAATTTCGTCGATGGCTAGCATCGGTTGTTGATTTTCTTACCATAAGATGTTGTTGCTTTGTACTTGGAACAGTGGAGCGGAACGGGGCTCGAAGCCCCTTGTTAAGGTACGAAGCAGCAAGGTCTTTTGGTACGAAAATCAAACAACTGATGCTAGTACTTAGTGGAGCGGAACGGGCACTAAACCCCTTGCCAATTTATCAAGCAACAACGTTCTTAGGGTACGAAAATCAACAACTGCTTGGTTGCAGCTCATCATCGTCCGGGTTCGAGTCACAAAAACTTCGCTTTGTCTACGAACAGCCACGCTGCACCACAGTTCAAGCTTTGTACAAACTGAACCAAAGTTGTATCTGTCACACGCTCACTTCTGTTCGAGACCGTTGACGGAGATTTGAAGTGCAACGCTGCCGCTCCACGGCGTTTCCACCATACTTCGACCATCGAATGCCTGCTTGACGCGCTACCTGCAGCCGTCAGCTTCTGCTCTCCTACTTACTGCTACAGCTTCGAGCACTCGGCTGGCGTTTCAGCTGAAACACCCACAGCTGTATCAAACATCAGCGACTCAACCTCACACACCACTGAAAACGAGAATCATCCACCTTCGAAGTGCTTCCAACCTTCCCCAGCCTGTGGCTCGACCGCATAGCGCAAAACACAAGATGACATCCCTTCTCTCTCAGCTGCCAGAGCTGCCAAATCTCCCTGGAACCGAGCCAAGCCGTGCGCCGCTCGACTGCTTTAGGATCGCGATCGCAGATCAGGTCCACAAGGCCCTACCAGAGCAGATCTCATTGGACAAAGCCCTAGAGGGCGTCATGCTGACCACCAAAGGTGACAGTGACTTCAACGTTGCCTTGCCCCGCTACAGGCTTGGCGGCAAACCAGACGATTGGGCAAAAAAGGTGACCGAAAAGGTGAGGCACTAACGTCCTTCAATGTGGTCCAGCGCATTTTTGGTCTGACAGATTGCGTCATTTATCGACAGGCCCAAGTTAATGGGTACATCGAATCAATAACACAACAAGGTGGCTTTGTTCACTACAAGGTCCGCACGTCCACGCTGGCCAAGCTCACTCTGTCCTACATCAGCAGCATGACTGCTGAGTATGAAAAGAGCAAGTCACCCACCGCTCCTTACGGATCCAACCTCTCCGCGCAAGGCAAAACCGCAATCGTCGAATTCTCATCTGTCAACATCGCAAAACCGCTTCACGCGGGGCATCTCCGCAGCACCATTATTGGCGCATTCCTGGCAAATTTGTATGAAGCGAATGGGTGGACGGTAGAGCGCTGGAACTACCTCGGAGATTGGGGGAAACAGTTCGGACTCCTTGCAGTAGCGTGGAGGCGTTTCGGAGACGAACAGAAACTCGAAACAGATGCAGTCAAGCATCTTTACGAAATCTACGTCGCCATCAATCGCATCGCAGAGCCGAGCTTTCCGGATGGGACGAGCGAGCAGGACACTGCTCAGGCCAAAGCTGAGGCCGAGGAGGTGCACAACCAAGCTCGTGAATTCTTCAAGGGGATGGAGGATGGGGATGAGGCATGCCTCAAATTATGGCGCCTCTTCCGTGACCTTTCCATCAAGAAGCTCAAGAAGACCTACGCCCGTCTCAACATCCACTTTGACGAGTATAATGGAGAGTCGCAGGTGACCAAAGAGCAGATCAATAATGTTTTGAAGAGGCTGCACGAGGTGCCAGGACTGCTCTCCGAAGACAAGGGCGCTGTCATCGCTGACTTGACGAAGTACAAGCTTGAGAAGGCCATCATCCAGCGCAAAGACGGGACCCCGCTTTACCTCACTCGTGATATTGCATCCATTATCCACCGAATGACAGATCGTCACGACGGCAAAGGCTATGACAGGCTTGTGTACGTCATCGCGTCTCAGCAAGATCTGCACGTCGCACAATTTTTCAAGATTGTCGAGCTCCTCGGTTACGAATGGGCAAAGCCCTCGGCAGGAAAGCTTGTCCATGTCAACTTTGGCATGGTCCTGGGAATGTCGACGCGTAAAGGCACTGTCGTCTTCCTGGATGATATTCTCGAGCAAGCTCGCGATAACATGCACGCTGTCATGCGTACCAATGAGGTCAAGTATGCTCAAGTCGAGGATCCAGAGGCCACTGCTGACCAAGTCGGAATGACGGCCGTCAAGATCCAAGATATGAGCGGAAAGCGTATCAACAACTACAACTTTGACTGGGCTCGCATGCTGAGCTTTGAAGGCGACACTGGGCCATACCTGCAATACAACCATGCCCGCATGTGCTCGGTCGAGCGCAAGAACAGAGAAACCGGTCTCGAGCTGCCCAGTCCGATTGACCCGGAGCAGCTGCGGTCTGACTTGCTAATCGAGCCCAAGGCTCGGGAATTGATCATGCTCCTTGCGACATACCCTGATGCGATTCGCCAAGCCATGAAGGATCAGCAGCCCAGCACTATAGTCACATTTTGCTTCAAGCTAACCCATGTTATCGCCAGCGCTTGGGAGGTGCGTGAGATATCGCTTATTTTGCGCTCATTTCTGACGCTCATGCTCGTTAATTCCCCTTCTCAGGTCGTCATTGTCAAGGGCGCAGAGCGCGACGTCGCACTGGCTCGTCTCTGGATGTACAGGTGTGCTCGGGAAGTGCTCGGCTCGGCGTTGCGCCTGTTGACCAACGAGCGTGAGTGCTCCTCCAACGCGAAGCGCATGCATGAAAACGCTAACATCCAGCCTCTGATTTCTCTCGGACAGCCGCGGAGCGCATGTAGACTCGGGACATATTAAGATCCATTGCAAGCATTTTTTTCTGATGACAGTTCTAACGTTACAATGCAATAGACGTAAGATTGATCTGAGGAAAGGTCCTTGCTCTAGCCTCAGAATGTTACCATTTTTTGCACGGCCTATGAGTATATGCTGCCAAAGACTTCGAAAGACTTGATGATGTCATCGATTTCGTCAAGCTCCTCCTTAGAAAGCTTAATCTCGGCTGCGGTCATGTTCCCGGTGATATTATTGTTTAGAGTGGAACCAGTGATTGGAATGCTGCTGTCGGCCTGAGCGACGACCCTAGCCAGAGAGATATGCGCTGGCGTGCAGCCCAACTTGTGAGCTAACTTTAACTTTTGCACGACCTGCAGGTTCTCTTGGAAGTTTTCGTCGCCGAAACGTGCATGATTTGCGAAAGTTTCACTCGCCGAAGTCGTCGTGACTCTTGATCACGCCGGGTAGGAACCTCTACCGATCAGGCTGTATGCGATGCTGATTACGTCATGCGACTTGCACCAGTCTAAGATTTCGTTGGTTGTAATTTTGGGCATCCACGGAGACAGTTTGATATGCAAGGTATCGATATGCTCAACCTTTTCGGTGGCGTCAACCTGCTCTACATTGTACCCGCTGATGCCGCAATAGCAATTCTTGTCCTGCTTATACAGTTCCTTAATGCCATCCTGCGTGCCGACGTAGTCGGGCGTCGGACGATGCGCGTCGTATAGGTCTATCCGGCCTGTTTGAAGGCGCTTGAGAGACACAAGTCAAGCTTCAAGGACATGTTCCTGGCCGACTTTCATGCCGCGCAGTGTATTCAAGTCGAGCGTGATCACATGCTTGGTGGCCAGGAAATTCCTTTCGCGGACGGAGCGGTTGCTCGCAAAGAATCCGCCGATCTGCTCTTCATCTTGTCCGAGAAAAAGGCACTAGGTGTAGTTGACAGATGCGTCGAACATCACACCGGAGCTAAAACTTAACTGGTGCTAGAACACGGCGTTCACCTCTTCTTGGGTCTTCGGCTTGCCTTACTGTGCATTCCAAGGCCATTTTAAGTCAGGTCGAATTCGAAATCGATGCACAGCAAGTGACCAATCATTTCTCAAAAAGGCTGCGAGGCCAATTACCCCAAAATGGATCACCGGCACCTCGGTAGTTTCAATCTTGTGAGTGTCTATGGCGTATGCGTTTTTGACGAACTAGCAAGGTGTAGGTGTAGGTCGCTCGTTGCGTTAAAAACAACTCTCAGGGCCGGTGCGCTGGGAACTGCATCCTAATATATACACCTGCGGGGTTACTTGCCGGCTTGCTCTGCGACCTCCTTTCGGAGGTACGGTCGCATGGAGTATTTGCCGCCAGGTGGACACATATAGCACCCACCATGTACTACAAAAGGAGCGTCGGCATGTAAGACAGCGGATCCATCGTGAGTTGTCCGTCTTTGGTATTACCGATCAGCCTTTCAATTCTCGTCCAACCCGCGAGCTGAGTCAGAGACAGTCTACTCACATAATTTGCAACTCAGCCTGAATACCGAATCCCGAATCCCGCTCACCACGCATAGGCTGCGTAGTCCAGCACACATTTGGCTCTTGACTCGCTTGCTTTTGTCATTGGTGACTGAAACGCAACATGGATATTGTCATTCAAAGATTGACTCCTCTAGGGCATGATAACTCGTTGTAAAGATTTGTAGCACCGTCGAGCGAATGTACGTGAAGCGCCTGCGGCTTCTTCTCACATGAGCCCAACCTGTTGAGCGACCAGGACAGCAACGAATGCTATCGATCACAAGAAAATTGTCGTCGAACTTCTGTTTTTTCGCCTACGGACAAGCCAAAGCTGCTTTTGGTCGCGAGGAAGTGGTATGCGGACTGGGTATGGGATTACTCGCAGCATCAATTCAACGCCGCGCACCATATATCTTGCCTTATTCACTCACTACGCTACACGGAACTGTGGGTAACGCCGGACTGCAGTCTGTCACTCCCCGGTCGCCCGTTCGGCCCTGTTGCTTTCCATTCTCGCAGCAGTATCGCAGCATGATCGCCTCTCCCCTCGTGACGCCGGCTTCCGGCACCGGGGTTTCCAATGAGGTCGTCATTGTACCTCCTAAGTCTTTAAGGCGCTTGCCGGCTCCTCCTGTATCGCCCAATCGGTTCGTCGGCGGTCAGCGACACGACCTTTCCGCAGAGCAGAGGGACCAGCTCGACTCATTTGCAAAGAGCTTGCATCTTGACGACTTCAAAGCGGGCTTTAATGCCAATATTAATGTTGTGGCTCTTCGCGTGGAAGCTAAGGGTGTAGGTAAATTACTTGGTGACCCCAATATTGCTAGGTGAGGATTTTTGCCAGCGGATCTCGTATGCCATGTGCCCATTTTCTCTGTCTCTTTCTTGCCGCTACAATCTAGTCATGTCCTTCGCGCGTCAAGGATTGCGTCTGTCGTCGAAGATCCTACTAGCCCAAAGCAAAATCGCTTCGTGTTGCTCAATTATTCAGCTCAAGGTGAGCACCTGACCATTCAGCTGATCCAATAGAATCCGGGTCAGACTGACAGGACCCAGTTCCATCTGTACAGACGAGCTCCCAGGTTCGCTCACCGCTGCGGCTGTGCAGCAGGGGCTAGCTCTTGTCAAGCATGTGCTACATGTTAATTACAACTATTTCACCGCAGATCAAGTCATCAGCAGCCTCTTGCCAGCGAGCATGCCTGAGGGCACGCCGACCGCCTACACATTGACTGGTCACATTGGTAAGGGAATATCAGTAGCGGCGAGATGTTCGCATGCTGAAAATGGAGAATATTCAATCCATCCTCACAGCCCATGTCAACCTGAGGGACGATTACTTACCTTACCGCTTCGTCATCAGCCAAGTCCTACTTGAGGTGCGCCGACGTGACGTAACCTCTGATGGTTATCGAAAGCCCATGCAGTGATATTGAATGGCGGATACTCACACGCCACACCTCACTTTAGAAAAATGCATCAGTGCGCACGGTCGTAAACAAACTGGACAGCATCGACACCGAGTTTCGCTTCTTTGCAATGGAGCTATTAGCAGGCGAGTCGAGCTATCAGGTCGAGTTGGTGAGGGCATATAGGGTGAAGCTTTGAATACGACGATCAAAGCTCATGCCCCTGTGAAGTCTGAATCAGGGTGTCTTTTCAGTTTCGATTTTCGCCAAGTCTACTGGAACAGTCGATTGCACACGGAGCACGCGCGTCTCATTTCTCTTTTTTCGCCATACGACGTAGTGTCTGATGTGATGGCGGGCGTAGGTCCGTTTGCCATTCCTGCTGCGAAGAAGGGATGCTGGGTCCTGGCAAATGATCTCAATCCCGCTAGCTATGGTAGCCTAAAGGACAACTGCAAGCGCAACCGCGTCGATAATTTCTGCACCGCAGCATGTGAGGATGGCAGAACATTCATACGAAACAGCATCAAACAGACTTGGGAGGAGGGATTTGACGGAAAGCTGCTTGTGAAAGGTGGTGCAGAGGAGGCCACGAGTCGTAGGGCGCGGCTGAAAGAAGAGCGCAAGCGCCGACAAGAGCCAATCGCACAAGGTACGAACGGCGACAACCACCCGACCGCATCGGCAGCGCAGCCGCCAGCCCGCGGCCGTAGAAGGAGGCTGATTGACCATTTTGTCATGAACTTACCCGGCAGCGCGCTAGAGTTTCTTGACGCGTATCGCGGAGCCTACCGTGTGATTGGAGACCAAACGGGCTTAGAGAAGGAACTGAAAGAGAGGAAGGCGAATGAAGAAGAAAACGGAAGCGAGTGGCCGATGGTCCACGTACACTGCTTTACAAAAGATCTAGAACATCCCTTCGAAGACATTTGCCGGGTAAGTTTTTGTCCTTTTTCTTTTCCGCTTCGGTTTCATAGCCCACAACCTAACTTCTTGTCATTTCAGCGCGCGAATGAGGCTCTTGGGCTAGACAATGAACATCCCGCTGCACTTGTGCCTCCCCGAGATGGACATAATGCTGAGACGCCAACAAAGCAGGAGGTCTCGATTCACCTCGTTCGTTCTGTTGCGCCAAATAAAGACATGTATTGCCTCAGCTTCAGGCTGTCGAGAGAGATTCTCCTTGACCTGCCCATGCAGGAATTGCAATGAGGACGAATCTCGGAATCCGTCTCGTGCACTTTGTTTGCTTTAAGTGCGCAACAGGTGATTTCGCTTGTGGTGGATCACATGAATGTATGCTTACCAACACTGCAATATGCACCCTTCATTTCAAATCCAGCGTCGAGCTTGCATGTCGACCCGACTGCCACATGAGCTGTAGTCTGCGAAACAGGCGGCAGGATACAGAATAAGTACTTCAGGAGCGTGACGCAATTAGCGGAATCCAACAATAACTCGCAAAGCGCTAGGCCGCGGCGAGGGCGAGTTTCTATCAATGTGAAATTGGATCTGCTATTGAACTTTATCCGGATAGGCACAGCTCGCTGGTTGGCATAGGTGTTTCCCTTCTTTCGATCAACTTCGCGAATTGGTTTCTACCAATATGAGAGAGGATGGTCAATCTCTCGGGTTTGCACTCGCGTTGACCCGCCGAGTTCAGCTGTTTTCCGTCGTGCAAGCCAAGAGAACGCACTGCTGGAACAAGCTGGTGTCGCTTGTCGGAGAAATGGTGGAGGTCTCAGCCGGTTCAATGGAGGCCGTACGCGTTGCACCTGCGCCTCAAGCTGAACAGATAGCAGGGCGTGGAGTACAAAGTCCATATGAAGGCACAGTATGTCAATGCCTTGGACCTCATGTATCATTTTGTGGGTTACATGGGGTTGTCAGCCGTGTAACGGGGTACACTAACAACCAGTTACAGGGACTAGCCTCTGACTCCCATGCAGTCTGAATACCATCATTGCTAGTTAATTTCTACTTTTTTGATGCTCGATGTTTCGTCGCTCTGGTCTGCGGTGTCGCAACATGGCGTTCTGCATCGCAGGTATCATCTTACTTGGCGCCGCGGCAACCACATGTGCGACGTTTGCTTCAGGACCAGCAGGCTCCAGGGTGCAGCAAATACGCGGGAAGCTGTTTCACGCGTATCCCGTGTGCGTTAGAGCGCCAGAACGTGAGGGTCGACTGAAAACCCGGGTTCGCGGGCACTGTCGCTCTCTTCAGTTGGATGGCAGTTCTATCTATCCCGAGTCAAAGATGCGCAATGACACCGGAAGAGATATGGGACTTCACAGTGTGGCACTTCGCACATGGCTATGGGCTTCATGTGTTACACGAGGATTCACCAGGTGAGCAAGCAGGACGAAATTTCCATGAGTTTTTCAACTCCAGGGGCCACATTGCGAGTCTGTCTGCGAGCTTGATCTGGTTTGATCTGCTAAGTTCGTTATCCTTTGATAGTGCACGGCACGGCACGACAGGGTTAGGGTTAGGGTTAGGGTTAGGGTTAGGGTTAGGGTTAGGGTTAGGGTTAGGGTTAGGGTTAGGG